CCGTGTGGCTGCCTCGAATACAGAGGCAGCAGCACAGGGTGGCGGGGGGCTCCCGGGAGTGGGGCCAGAGCACACTGGCTGCCAGCCCCACTCCTGGGGACTACTGAATAGTTGAGTAACCGATAAAAATTCATGAGGTTAATCAATTATTCAATTAACTGATATTTAACATCCCTAATCTGCAGCTGATTATTCCCTCCCCGGGAGGAGTTAATAACAATAAGACTCTGGTGGAACCTCAAGGGCTTTTACAATCAGTCATTCATGAAATTTTCTAAATCCCCCAGAAGGTGGGTCAGTATAATTTTAGATGGGGAAACTGAGGGAAGGGCAGGGGGACTTGCTCAAGGTCATCTGGGGCAAAGCCAAGAATAGAGCCCAGCTGTCCTTACTCCTTGTCAGTGCCTGGCTAGCTCACATTCTGGCTGAGGTGGTGTGACGTTCCTGGATTGGGAGATGACCATTCAAACCATCGGTGCAATCACTGGTATATGTTTGCACCAGATGGGCCAAGGGAGGTGTCTATACTAAGCTGCTGATTCTGTTTATGCTATTCAGATGCATGGATCCATTTTGTGTTGGGACTTTGCCAAACCAAGGGAGGTCAATATTGTCTGGCAGCATGGCCAACGCTTCCACTGCTTCCTGGGCTCTTAGAAGCCATTTCGGGGTAAATTAGAGCTAAAAAACAGCACAGAACCCAGAGAGCCAGGACTGGTGGTTGTAAACAAACTTTATGGGACCATGGGAAACTTGGCAACACCCATGATAAGTTGCCATCCAGCGAACTAACATCATGCCGGACCACAGAGGTTACCGCACCAAAGAATGCCGGACTAGAGAGGTTCAACCCACAGCTTTCCCACAAAAAACAATGGGAGTCCTGCCACGTGCCCCAGGATATAAAAAGGACTCTGAAAGTTTCTCCATTTTGCCTTCAATCCGGCTTCTCACCTCTGCAGGATCTTTCCTATGAACTGAAGCTTGAAAAAAGGACGGATGACCCATCCTAACTAGTTGTGTTCCAGAGACTTGATTTAAGACAACAGATTGTTCCACCTTGGCTACAAGAGTGCCCCAAGAACTTTGTATGTAATAGGGTGTATGTCATTTGATTTCTTTAGCAATTTAAAATTTCTTTTCCTTCCTTCCTTCGTTTAGATTCTAAAGTCTTGGCTAAGAGCTTTAAGAGCTTGCTTTTTTGGACAACGTCTGAGTTATAAATTGACCTGGGAATGTGGCTGGTCCTTTTGGATCAGTAAAAAGCTTTTTTGATTTGAGGAGATTGGTTTTCATAACCTCTCATCTGCATAAGGAGTGGTACTGGCGGAGGCGCGGAGAGCTGGAGAGTCTAAGGAAGTGGCTTGTATAACTTCTTGCTAGCCAGAAGTGCTCTTTGTGACTGGCTTCGGGTGCCCAGTGGAAGACCTCCTGTCTTGGGCTATGTCTAGACTATGGGTTTTTTCCAGGAGGTATCCTGGAAAAACTCGCTGTGTCATAGATTCATAGAACCATAGAGCTGGAAAAGACCTCAGAAGGCCATCAAGTCCAGCCCCCTGCTCTAGACAGGACCAATCCCAACTAAATCAACCCGGCCAGGGCTTTGTCAAGCCGAGACTTAAACACCGCTAGGGATGGAGACTTCACGGAAGAGCAGACACGCTCTTTCGGGGAGCCGTGTATTCCTCAGGCCACGAGGAAGAAGGGCCCTTCCGAAAGAGGTTTTTTTCTGAAATTTGGCTCAGTGTAGATGGGCCAAATTTTGGAAAAGCCTCTTCTGAAAAAACAATTGGCCTTTTGCCGATAATGCCCCGTAGCGTAGAAATAACCTGGGTGTGTAAGTCGCCCTGTCTCTAAGCAATTCGCCCTGGATTGACCCTCTCAGCAGGGCTCTCGGAACCCCCCCCTTATTACAAGGGATATCTTAACAAGTGTTGGGGAGCCTAACACTACCTGGCTTGGGGCTCTCACTTTGTATTTAGACAGCAACAGAAATAAAGGTTTGTGACTTGAATAGTGAGGTCTGGATTCCCTCCCCACCCCCACCGCACTGCTCCACCTGGCTGTTCAGCTGCTAAGAAGCCAGCCCTTGTTAATTTCATTTAGCCCAATAAAAGAAACTCCAGGGAGTCGCACAAGGGATAAGTTTGACTCTCTGTTGCTTTTAGCTCTTTCTAAATTCCTCCTTCAACGTAGCCAGATACTCCCTGCCAACGGGAGGCCCAAGAACCCTGAGTTAGCCGCACTGCACCGTGTATGGGCTGGATTTTTATACTTTGCTTTGCGGGAGAACTTTGCTCCTACTGTTAGCATCGTGCAAGATCGTCTCTCTCTCTCCACCCGGCCTTTGTTCTCCTCCCTCCCTCCACCATTACACACCTCCCCCTTACCTGCAGGTTGGAAAGTGCTGCCGGAGGGGGCTGAGGGGAAGCTGGCCGAGTTTTTCCCGCTTCCCGTCTTTTTCCCCTTGTGGCTGGTGCCATGGCTGGAGGACTTCTTGCCTTTTACCTCTGACCTGCTAACCTCTGAGGTCTCTTTGATACCCTCATGGTGGGCAGTGGAAGCCTGGAAAGGAGACAGACACAGGGGCCAAAAGTCAGTCCAGATGTGCATGCAGCTGGCTCTCTCTTGATTGGTTTTTCGAGTCCAGTCCCCTGCCCTCCCGGCAGGACCAAGCACCAGCTAGACCATCCCTGACAGGTGTCATCTACAGTGATGGAGATTCCCCACCCCCCCCCCCCAAGGCAATTTTTTCCAGTATTTAACCACCCTGACAAGCAGGAAGTTTTTCCTAATGTCCAACCTAAACCTCCCTTGCTGTAATTTAAGCCCATTGCTTCTTGTCCTATCCTCAGAGGCCAGGAAGAACAATTTTTCTCCCTCCTCCCTGTGACACCCTTTTAGATATTTGAAAACAGCTCTCATGTCTCCTCTCAGTCTTCTTTTCTAAACTAAACAAGCCCAATTCTTTCACTCTTCCCTCATAGGTCCTGTGTTCTAGACCTTTCAACATTTCTGCTGCTGTTCTCTGGACCTTCTCCAATTTCTCCACATCTTTCCTGAAATGTGGTGCCCAGAACTGGACACAACAGTCCAACAGAGGCCTAAACAGCACAGAGTAGAAGGGAAGAATGACTTCTCGTGTCTGGCTCACAACACTCCTGTTCATGCCGCCCAGAGTCATGTTTGCTTTTTTTGCAACAGTGTCACACAGTTGACTCCTATTTAACTTGTCATCCACTCTGACCTTCAGCTCCCTTTCTGCCATACTCCTTCCTAGACAGTCGCTTCCCATTCTGTGTGCGTGAAACGGATTGTTCCTCCCTAAGTGGAGCACTTTGCATTTGTCCTTATTAAACTTCATCCTATTGACCTCAGGCCATTTCTCCAGCTTGTCCAGATCAGTTTGAATTATAACCCTGTCCTCCAAAGCGCTTGCAACCCCTCGCCGCTTGGTATCATCCGCAAACCTCATAATCATACTATCTAAATCATTGATAAAGTTTTAGATGGTGGCATTTCAGTCTCTCCAGACAGTTCCCAGGCTCCTCTCTGAGCTCCCTTAGAGGTAGCAGCATCCTTCTTGCTCAGGGGGCCCAGAACTGGACGCACTGGTCCACGTGACGCCAGGCCTACCCAGGGAGGGACGGTAGCTTCTCTGTTCCGTGACGGGCTCCTTCTGCAGCTCAAGTCCCATGCTGCCCACCCACCAAGCATCCATTAACGCATCTCCCTCCAAGCCCCCCTCGCATTGTGTTGCTACCCGTGTCTGGTCTGCCCAGGCGGCTCAGGGTCTCTAACCTGGAAGGGCACCTGCAGCCTTCTCCTGATCGACTATGGAGAATGCTTTTGCAAAGCTAAACTGGCAGGGCAGCCGTGCTGCAGGAACAGATGCTGCAGAAAACCCCCAGAGAAGCTATGTGTGTGAAAGCGAGCGCGAGAGACCCAGACCCAGATGCTAGGGGATCTGGGAGCGCGGAGGGATGACCAGGAGGAAAGTCGGGTAGGTTGGGAACTGGCTCTCTCAGGGCATCCGCACTGGGCTATGGAGCTTTTAGCCTTTCCCCAGGTCAAAGGTGGCCCAGTAACGATGGGGCCTGCATGATGCTACGTCAGATAAACACAGTTAGAAGGAGCCGTGCTGGCTCAAGCCACTTTTCTAGCCACTGCCGCAATAGGAGAGTCGCAGCCTCAAATAAAACACCTGTGAGCTACGGCAAGCTCCTTGCGTTACCCCCAAAGCCGACTGAGGGGCAGATTTGAGCAAGACCTTGACTCTGCTCTCCCTGACTCCAGGGAGAGAGTAAGAAATACATGTGCAACAGACACATCAATGCCTGGATAAAAATCTATCCCCATTTCCGCACAATGCACTGGCTGGCAGCCTAATGCCTGCCAGATGTGCTGGGGATATAAAAGACAGGAGGAAGGGAGTGGTGGAAATTGGTAAGTGGGGGGAGAATCTGTGTTTTCTCATCGCTAACTTCTGGATGTTGAAGGTTAAGCTCTCTTGATTTATGATCACAGAGGGAGCAGGAAAATCCTTCTGTCCTTCCACATCTGCGAGCGGGCGGCAGGAGGGGAGGAAGAGGAGGGAGAGCGGAGCCTGGGCGCGCTGGGCTGCAGTGGGGCTGTTCAAAAGCCACAGGGAAAACAGGCCTCGTGTCCCAAGCCGCTCTCCCAGGATGCCGATTAGGGATGTAATAGTGGAGTCGATTCATCAATTAACCGGTTAGCAAAAGCTTATCGGTTAATGCTAGAGACTACACGCATTTCCATCCACCCCCCAGTTGCCAGGACATTTTTTAGGAGGCTGGCCAGCAGCCCGGCTCAGTCCTGGCTTGCAGTGGGTCCGGGACCTATCTCTGCTGTGGCTCTTCCTTTAAAGTCTATTAGGAGCCAGGTGGGCAGACAGCCCAGCTCAGTTCCGGCTCATGCTAGGTCTGGGAGCTCAGACCACGAGAAGGGCTGCTACCACTCTGCACTGCTTCCTCTTTATCAGAGGCAGCAGCACGGGGCGACAGGCAGACGGTCGGCGAGGGGGGCTGGTTTTTAAACCGGCTCCACTCACAGACCAGCTCCCGCCTGGCACCCCACGAAGGCAGCAGTGTGGAGAGGCAGGGGGCTCCTCCAGAGTGGGGCTGGGATGCACTGGCTGCCAGCCCCGCCCCCCCGGGGATGATAGACTAGCCGACTAACCAATAAGAATTCATGAGGATACTCGACTATTCAATTAACCGATATTTAAATCCCTAATGCTGACACGTGTCCCTTGAGGCAGGAGTCAGAATGGGGACAAAGCCGGTGAGACTCCCCCCACAAATCCATCCCTTCTCTTCCTCCGACCCGGTGTGCAAGGCTACGGACGAGCAGAGAGGGGGAGACGAGCCGTGTGACAGAGACTTCTCTTGTCTGGAAGGCAGTGCAGGGGACAAGGGTGAAATCAGAGTTGTAAAGAGAGGGGAAAGGAAGTGGGCACGCCATGGTGCGCAGCTCCGGCAAGAGCTGGCTGAGCTGCGGCAAAAGCCAGCAGGGAGCTATTGAAAGAGCCGGCAGGGACCTGGGTTGCCATAGGACCGGACCTGTAAGAAATGTCCAGTTGCTCTCACTCAGCCCCGGTTGTAAAACAAATCTTGGTTTGCAAAATTAAAAATAAACAACTAGGTTCAATCAACAGAGGGGCGATGCCGGCTCCGGGGACTGGCCACGGGTGACAGAGCCATTCACCTGCAGCCATGAAAGCCTGGCCCCCCACAGAAGTCAATGGCAAAACTTCACAGGGGCTAGAGTTTCCCACCAGGGTGCAGGCCGGTTACTGGCAATACAGGCGGTGTGATGTGCAAGCAGCTGGCGGTTGCAGCCCAGATCTGCTGTCCATATCAGCAAAATAAACCCTCCGACTTCTGCCCCACCCCACACTCAGGCTACATCTAAACAGCTTCCCTCTTCCACAAAAGCCTATGCAAATGAAGCGTGGATTGCCCTGCTCCATTTGCATAATTAATTAGGAGCTGGTTTTGCACACGAGGTTTTTGCGCAAGAGACGTTCTTCCTAATTTTTTCAGGAAGAATGGCTCTTGTGCAAAAACGGCTCCAAATTAATTATTCAAATGAAGCGTGGCAATATGCTAATCATTTGCATAGGCTTTTGCAGAAGAGGGAAGCTGTGTAGACATAGCCTCTGAAGGCAGGAAGCCTGGTTTCTGTTTCCAAGCCAGCGGGGTGTAGGACAATTGCTTCCCCCGCTTCATGCCACCGGCTCCCCTCCCCGCCTTGTGTCCATTTAGGCTGCGAGCTTGTAAACGTACAGCACCTAGCACAACGGAGGCCTCGCTCTCCGCTGGCGCTACCGTAAGACAGAGCCTAGAAAAGACTAGACCACATCAAGAGGTGACCCCTCCAGCTCAGCATGGAGGCAGTTTGAGGATGGAAAAATTTCCTTGTCGCTGTCCACTCTGTACCTGTCCTGTTGCTACACCGAGGCTGCGCTTTCTCCCCATACTAAATTCACCAGAAGGGAGGCAAATCCCATTGGCTATATTGTGTGTGTGTGTGCGTATGGGTGTTTTGGGTGGTGGGGGGAGCATGTTGTGGAGTGAACCTCCTCCCCACCCCCCACCGTACTGAGAACATGACAGGTCCCTCATGAAAACTCAGTGCTATTTACATTTTAAAGGCCTGTTTAAAAAAAACAACAACAGAGATGGGTCCCCAGCCTGGACGAGTCCTCGTTTCTTACGAGGAATCCTATTCTGCAATCCGGGAGCCAGGGGATGGAAAGACCAGCTCTGACCCCCCCCACACACAGCCCCAGAGCCACACGCTACCTTCCTCGCAGCGGTACCTGGTTCCCGGCCGACACTGCAGAACCGAGCTGTTCATTCATTCATTCATTTATTTATCAGAAATCAGAAGAGCATCTCCTTGCGCTCTGATTGGTGGGATGAGCTGCTAGAGGGAACCACTGACAAGGAAGCAGGGGGTGGGGGGGGACACTTGTACAGAACCGCCTGCCTTGGATTAAACTAATACTGACGGGGAAGGGGGGGGGATGTGGGGAGGATGGGAGAGTGAATGATCCAGAAACAGCAGCAGTTTCTCCCCACCCAGGCCAGACAGACGGATGCAGGGAAGCAGCCAACCAAAGGGGCCGGCAAGAACCAGCTGCCTATTAGAGAGCGAGCTTTGGCCCTGGGTCAGACCTGTAGCGAGAGCCTTTTGCTCAAGGTCCCTGAACGGCCCCATCGCCACGCAGCCTGGGGCCTCGCAGTCTTTAGTGAGCGGGGGCTGTGCTGTTCTCCCCATTTTACAGATGGGGAGCGGCGGCATGGAGAGACCAAAGGCCCAGATTTTAAAAGGTATTCGGGCTCTGCGAGGCCTACCTGATTTAGGAGCCTCAGCTGCATTTCCCAAGAGATTTAGGCACTCCGGAGCCAGAATCCCATTGATGGGTGATAGGATTTAGGCTCCTACGTGCCTTTTGAAAGTGAGACCCAGGCGCCTAAACCAGTTAGGCAGGGCCATGCTGAGCACGGTGGTGCCTAAATACCTTTAAAAATCTGGGA